AATGAGTTCAAAACACATATACATATGGAGAATACCGTGGCACATGTATGGTTTAAAACTATTTTCTCCTTTTATTAGATAGGATATTATATATATATATATATATATAGTTTCATCTATATTCATTATATTGATCTGTAGTTTTATTTGTATGTCTTTAATTTGGAACTCATCCTTATTTCAAAGGATGAGTTAGAAAGTATTCCCTCTCACATTTTCTGGAAGAATTTGTATATAATTTGTGTTCTTTCTTTTTTGTTTCCTAGAATTCCCCGGTGAGGTTATCTGGGCTTAGAGTTTTCTTACTGGCAAATTTTAAAGTACGAATTGAGTTTCTCAAATAGATGTGGGAATACTTGGGAACTTTGGGAGTTTGTGTCTTTCAAGACATTTGTCTATTTCATCTAAGTTGTTGAATTTGTGTAAATTAAAACTGTTCATAATATTATCTTATTTTTAATACCTTTAAAGGCTATATCAATTCTGCAACTACCTCTCTTATTCCTAACATTGATAATTTGTGATTTTATTATGTTATTTCCTAGTCATTCTGGCTAGATTTATCAATTTCATTGATTATCTCAAAGAACTGGGTTCATTCATTTTCTGTCTTGTTTTTATTTTCTAGTTTACTGATTTCTGCTGTAATTTTTATTTATTTATTTTTCTGTTCTATTTATTTGGGGCTTACTTTACTCTTTTTTTTCTGGCTGAGATGAAAAATGAAGTAATTGATATAAAACCTTTCTTCTTTTCTAATATAGATATTTAGCAGTAAACATTTATTCTCAAATACTGCTTTACTAACATTCCTCAAATTCTGATATGTGGTGTAGTGCACTTAGTTCAAAATATTTCCTAATTTTATTTTCCTTGGGGTTTTTCAGATATATTTCTGTTACTGATTTCTAATTCTATTTTTATTGTAATCAGAGCAATACCCTCTATAAATGGAGCCCTTTTAAATTTATTGAGATTTGTTTCATGCCCCAGAATATGGTTGATAATGTTCCATGTGCCCTGGGAAAGAATGCATTTGGGTGGAGTGTCATTTAGGTAAAGGATGAACCAAAGACGAAGTTGGTTGATCGCTTTGTTCAAATCTTCTGTATTTTAACTGATTTTCTGTCTCCTTGTCCTATCAGTTATTGAGACAGAGAGGTATTTAAATCTTGGCTATAGTTGTAGATTTGTCTGTTTTTCCTTGTAGTCTCATCAGTTTGCTTCATGTACTTTGAAGCTCCTGTTATTAGACCCATTAACATTTAGAATTCTTATGTCTTATTGATTAATTGACCTCTTTATCAATATGAAATGATCTTTGTTCCTGGCATTTTTCTTGGCTTTTGAATATGTTTTCATTTTGTGTGTGTGTGTGTGTATCTTTGATGTTTTTTTTTAAGCATTTGAAGAGGAATTTCTGGATTATGTGATTTAAATATTTTAAAGGTTCTTAACATCTTGCCAGATTGCCCTCCAGAAACTGTACAGATTTATACTTGTTCTCAAAGTGTTTATAGAGTTCAGAGATCTGGTCTTTTAAAATTTTAGATTTGTATAATGGTAGAACTGTAGCATTGTGTTGACCATAGGATAAAATATACTGCCATTTCTGTAATCTTTTTTTGTAGAAAATTAAAATGGTGTGGGTGTTTTTTACTATTTATAATTTATTTTTTATTGATTTTAGAGAAAGAGGAAGGGAGAAGAGGGACAGGGAGATAAAAACATTGATGACAGAGAAACACTGATCAGCTGCCTCGTGCACACCCCCTACTGGGGATTGAGTCCACAACCCGGGCATGTGCCCTGACCAATCCAGTGACCTCTTGGTTCAGCCACTGAGCCACACTGGCTGGGCTGGCGTGGATATTTTTCAAGTTGTCCTGAATTTCACTTCTTAGCTATGTTTTATTGTTTCATAGGCATAAACCAAAGATGGATATCATATACTTATAATAGGGATATGTAAGAGGAAAGGATTGATTTCTTTATTTAATCTTTCCTATATATATTTTTGTGGCATTTTCAATTAATATATTAGAGATGATTTGCAAAATTATGTGCCTATTTGATTGAATAGAAGGTTTGACTTTAAATAAGTTAATGAGTGGAAGGAAGTTTTATATATAAAATCTTGTAAAGGTACTAACCAAGATTAAATATGAAATATAATGTGCTTAGGTCTGGTGGGAATTTGTGGGTGCTTAACTTTGATAGTGCCCAGTGCAGATAGGCCTTAATAAAATAATCTGTTTGATCTATGTATTTTTTGATATGTAAAAGTATTCCCTAGGGAAGTCCTACGCATTACTAAGAAATACACAACATATTTATTATCCTTTATTGAAGAATGGACACAAAGAGCGGTGACCAGTGTGGATTTGTTTGGTAATCCTGTGCTGTCCTTTTCACACAGGAGTCTTCCGGAGCCTCTTATGACCTATGAGTTACATGGGGATTTCATTGTTCCAGCCAGTAAGTATTGCGTAGAGGTGCAAAATACAGTGTTGTGGTTGGTAGTGTGTATAAGCTGTAATTTCCACATGAACATTGAACTTCATTACTGTAATTTGAATTTAAAAATAGAAATCACTTTTGAAGATCTTGGGTTTCTTTTCTCTTTTAAAAGGTGAAAAAAAAAGGGACAATTAATAAATTCATTCATTCACATGTATTCATTGTCTACTGTGCCCTAGTCCCTGGCAGATACTGGGTAAGTAGAGCCATGAAAGAATTTCTGCCCCAGGAGTCAATTTTCTAGCAAATTGGTGCATACACACCTTCCACTATAGGTAAAATATATAATAATGGCATGAGCACAATGCTATGGGAACATGGATGTATTTAACTTGGGAGATGAGCAGATATGGAGAGATTAGTAGTTTGGAAATGGCTTCATTTAGATATTTAGATGGAAATTAAAGGCAGAAAAAATACTTTGAGATAATGCCAGAAGCCCACACAATATTTGACAGAGAATGAATTATATGTGATAAAATGTTAACTGAAAAAGGCCCATAGTTGGTAGAATTTTAATTTGTGATGAAATTTTGGGTGAGTTACACTTATTTGAAGTGTTCTTGTTTTCTGTTTTATTATCGTACACCTGTTTTTATATTCAACACATAGTGTTCAATCATTACAGTCTTCTGAAATACACTGGTGTTAGGTATTTAATAGTTAAGGAAATGAAGGTGGAGAGATGTTAAGTAATTTGCCAGATTATGGGGATCTTTAAATTCAAAGCCCAGGCTCCACTAGCTAAAACCTGCAGTTTGGTTTTCACAGGTGCACCGACAGTAGCTATAATTGTATTTTCATTTACTTTTTTTCCCCCCCTTGGATGTATTCCATAGTTCAATCTGCTGTTGGAAAACGTCGAGCAGTCCCTTTGGGGCCTGTGTCACTGCTTCTCGAACATTGCTTTAAAGGTTGCCTTTTTGTGAGGTCTTTGCTCAGACCCACGTGAAGGTTCCTAGTATGTTGCGGGAAGAAGCCATGTATAAGCCTGGTTAGAATATCCATGGAAAATAGGCTTTCAGTAATGGGGGAAAGTATGGTTCTATTCACTTTTGTTTTCATGTGGGAAGAGGATTTTTTTAAAAGAGAATTTGTGTGATCAAGGAAGTGGGGGAAAGTTTTCTTGGCAGGAACTCAAGCAAATGCTTAGTTGTTTTGATTTCTTCCCTGTGGCATTTTTGGCACACAGGGGAAAGAGAAATTAAACTCTACTTGGAGGACCATTGTTTCATGTTGTGCGCCTTGGGGACTGGAAAAAGCAAAAGCGTGCCAGTTTTAATCTGGGATCCTTTGAGAATTGGAGAAAGATAAAGTGATTATGGAATAAGTTTTAAGTCACCACAAGGGAGTATCATTATTCTTACTATCAGGCCTTGTAACTGAAGCCAGTGTGTTTGAAACTCTGATGTCAGTGTATTTTACCAGATGAAGGCCTCCTAAGAGGAGGAATTTACAAGTGTTCCTGGAGTCATTGGTGGTGGGGATGAGTAGGAAGAGTTTGTTGAGGGTATCCTTGAGCAATGTGATAGAGGAGATCGTATGAATACAAAAGGTATCACCATCCTCTAGGCCAGAACCTTGTGTTTTGCTTCCCGACTTTGTGGGATGCTCTTACAGAGCCTTAACAATTTGAATAACAGGCTTGTTCCAAAGAAAAACTGTAGCTCCTGTAATTATTGGCACGTATTTGGACCTAAGTGGAGTTGCGGTTGGAATGGACCTGTAGTTACCATATTTAATGAGGAAAAAGTACATCTATGAACCAGGTGTATTTTAGAGGCCAACATTTCTAATTTTTTATTTGAGTTTTGTGAGTTCCGTTCTCTGTACTCACTTTTCCTCTCAGGAGCAGGTCCTCTAATCTCTTGCATGTGTACGTTCAAGTATTGAATAAAACAGCTACAGAAATCAGGTGGCCAAAATTAGTCTCCCTTTTTCAATATTGTTGGAAAATTAGGATTGCGGTTAGGGCTCTCATTGTCCATTACCAGTGTCAGAGATGGCCCTGTTGTGCTGAAGTGTCTGTTAGACACTGTTAGAGCTCACTGGTAAAATTACCAAGCATCACCAGACTTTGTTACCGCCTCTCACCCCAGCATGGAAACAGAGTTCTGATTCTTTTCATGTGTGGTAGTTTCCATCTGTTCATGGTGTTGAGATAGTCTCTTGTCCTACCCTCCCTGCTGAGAGCTCTGAAGGTGGCTCTTGGTCCTTTCATTTCCTGTTGTACGTTTCTTTCCCGTAGAGTTCCGTTGAGAACCTGTGAGTTAATTTCTGAAGTGCATGATGCAAATATGAATTTTGTTGGTTGTCACCACAGGAAGCAAACATTTTTTTTATTTTTCCATTCTTAACAAATACTGACTTATGCATCGGGGAATTAAATAGTTTTCTTTCTTAGAGATAATTAAGAGCATTAACTAAACCCTCTCAGCTAAGAGAGTTAACTAAATTTGCTGAAAGGAACTAGAAACCATCTGCCTAGAAAAACCACTCCTGTGTTTCTCCTTCCATCACACACACAATACTTCACTCTGACACTCCCGGTCTCTAAATGTGTGGGCTCCCCCCAACCAAGCAGTGTTGGGACACCAGCAGAGTGTCCTGCAGTTCAGTTCCGTTCTGATTCTTTCTACCTAGAATTAGCATCAGATCCCACAAGTTAAGGATTTAGTCCCACAAGACTGCCCCCGCTTCAGACACTAGTCGGAAGCCTCAGGTTGCCCCCAGTAATTCCGGGTTCTCATAACCTCCCTTTGATCTGTAAGTTGCTGGCAAGGTTTATAGATCTCAGGGGAACACATCATAGGTTAACAGCTTATAACATAATGAAACAATAAAGGATACGGGTGGACAGCCAGGTGAATAGGGCGAGGTTTGGAGGTACCCTGGTACAGGAGCTGTCCTTGTGCAGTGGGGTGTTCCACCACCCCAGCATGCGGGTCCATGCACT